ACAGGGGACCAGCAGACAGCGTCCCCCAGGGGCTGACCAGGAGCTCCACCACAGATGCTTGTTTGCAGGAGGCTCTGGGGCTGGTGGCCAGCATGCAAGGACCTCTGAGCAGGACACTGGCGCGTTCACTGTTTAGCATTTAATCTACCTGCCGCTTCCTTCTGAGTCACGGGGGAGGAAGGGTTTGGAGCCCATTTTGAGAAGGTCTCGGAAGTCAGGGCTCCGTAGGGTTACTGTCTCATTCTCCTGGGGTCTGTGTGGTTTATTGAGCGCATTCTATGTCCATCGTCTTGTGGAAGGAAAGCGGTAACAAGACACCCTTGATCCCTGCCTTCCTGAGCCCCTTGTCTCAAAGGGAAGGCCTGCTGACAGGCAGGGATGATAAGTGCTGCGAGGGACAGTGCAGGGTGGGTCAGGGAGCCCTGTGGGCAGAAAGCAGTGTGTGGCCGGGGCCTGCAGGAAGAGCAGGCGGTAGCCGCGTGGCGTGGGGAGGGTGTTCCTGGCACAGGGAACAGGCTGACCGCGTGGCCCTGTGTGGCCTCTCTGGGGAGGCACAGTCACAGGGCCTGTCCTCCAGCGTGGGGCCGCGGGAGGGTCTTGAGCCAGGGCGTCCGTCAGAAGCCGGAGTGGCCACGGTGTTAGGTTCCTGGGGCTGCCATACGAAGAACCACAGCTGGGTGGTTTAAAGCAACAGCAACTTAAGTCTCCCGCAGCTCGGAGGCCCGAAGTCTGCCCTCCAGGTGTGGACAGGGCCGGGCTTGCTCCCACGGCTCTGGGGGAAGATCCTTCTGCATCTCTTCCTGTTTCGGGCACCACTGGCATTTCTCGGCTCCTCGAGGCATCACATTGCCGGCTTCTCCCTGTGTCTTCACATGGGCTCCCTCTGGGCTGTGTCCAAATGGCACCCTTTCACACGGACACCAGTCATGTTGGGTTAGGGCCCATCCGATGACTTGGCTTTAATTCGGTTACTTCTGTAAAGACCCTGTCTGCACATAAGGTCCCATTCTGAGGTCCCGGGGTCACACGCTGACATATATATTCTTTTAGCGGGGGGGAGGTGGATACAAGCCAACCTGTACTGCCGTCTGCTGGGGGTCTGGCCCGCCCTGCAGCCTCGCATTTCACCGGTCCTGTGTGTTCTCCTGCAGAACCGGGCCATAGGGAGGCCCAAAGGGAAGCTGGGCCCCGCCTCCGCGGTGAA